ACAACTTTGAGGAGCCATAAAAAACAAACCAAGTGACCCTAAATCTTTATACTTTATAGATTTGTGACCACAACGGCATGGGCAATGCACCACCAACAGGAAATTTGAATCAGAGAAGGGGCCGTTTTGGAAACCGGCCCTTTATAGCAGTTAGTACGGGTTACCACTCTTTTTCGTATGAAGCTTAGTGCTCTAATTATATCATACACAATCTTCAGTCTTGATTTGCCGGTATCTATTTCGGAGATGCAGTGTCATGTGCCGAACTCAAGACTCTCGGACCTATATTTTGATCATTGACCTACATTGCATCAAAATCATGTCTTGGTAACATGGCATGCAGATACACACTGGAAGACGAAGTGGCATGCCTCCCATTCGGGATCTTCGAACATTGCTTTCTATTGCCTAAAGTAATGACTAAATCAACCAAAGCCATTAAAATGATTATCTAATCAAGAAAACAGCTTTTGATTAAATGAAACTACGAGAAAATCTTTAAATTGCTCCCCATGATCATTTTTTTTCATATCAACACACAGTAGGAAACAGATTGCAAACTTACATAAATGGAAGATTGGGTAAAAGTATGAAAATGAAATATGGACTTATTTAATTAAGTTTATGTCTTGAAATTAAAACATGAAAATAAAATTGAAGATTCACATAGTAGTAAACGCAATTTTGATTTAATGTGAAATTTATAAACCTACTTGGTATTTTACCAACGCGAGGCCACCGCTAGTGGAACATATGTCTTTAAAGATACCTAAATCCAGCAGTCGATTTATTGACAATATTTCATTTTTTTAGTTTCAAAATGTCTTATATATTATATTATATTAATCTTTTGATTTTAGCATGTTTTTTACTTCGCTCTTTACGATTGAGTGGGAAGCTTATTTTATTTTAATACTAACGTATAATGGAATAGAAACATTTTTTTAAAATATAATGCCAATATAATCTCGTGAAAGTGAACTGCTTACAATGTATGCCTTCCAATGTATTTGTCTTTTATCTCACAATTACAAAACTTAAACAATTTTGCCTCCAGCGTCACAGCTGATGATACGTTATCAACCCCAACCTGCATGGTCAAAGCACAGAATATGGTATTTGGAAGTGTAGCACACCCACAAAACATTATTTCAATTATAACTGTAACGTCAGAGATACAATACATTTAACGCAAAAACAAATATAATTTAACAAGTTTTATTAATCACATAATAGCTGAACTCATTGGAGTGAATATATAACTGGATGTATAAAGGATTTCCAATGATTGTATATTAATATCTTGATGAATATTTAAATAATCATTAACTTATCACTTAGAGTAACGAAGTTAAAGCTAACAGTGCAAATTGAAAAGCTTTCAACCGAGATTAAAAAATGTTTTTTTTTCTGGTTTTGCGATGTTCCCCAGTGACTATCTCTTCCGGCTTTCATAACTAAGGAAGCAGAATAGCTATAACTTTTTTTTAATGTCGACTAAAAGTTTTTGAATTCGCATGCAGCTTTAATGACGTCACCCCAAATGTATCACAACACTGCCAATGAACACTATCACTCTCAACACAGCAGCTTCATAATGAAAGCATACAAAAATATAACAAGAAACGTATCCATAAATATATATATTTACATATACATATATATGTTATCACTGTACCAGCCAGTTTTTCATTCTTGTCACACCGTAGGCCACTTAAGGGAAACACATGTGACTTAAATAGCACTTTTGATTTAAGTGGACTCATTTGAGATCGAAGTAATATTTTTTAAGGACAGTTCATGATTTTGTCGGTAGGATGAAACTTCAACTTCAACTCTGCGCAAACAGTTTCATTTTCTACAATATTTCTTCGTTTTCTTCATTTCGTGAACTCTGCCTCTAGGTTTCTATTCGGGAATACTTCAATTAGCGATTGGCGCGATTGAAAAGTTGGTGTTTCAATATTGACTGTAGTGATCCTTGGAAATAATATTCACGGTAGATGTTAGTTTGCGAAATCGGCCTCCTCGCGAATTAAAGCGAAATTGTATCTCTCTCGCAAAAACAACACTATTTACAGTAGTATTTTTCGTATCAACGTGTTTACAGCTAAGTCTAGGTTTTCATAACCTGTTATCATCTCTAACCCACAGTCTCCGTTACAAGTCTGAAATTCCTAGTTACCGTCCCATGAAGTTTATAAAGGTAACCAAAATATTTCAGTTCCGATTGAGATCTCCGACGATCTTTTTTTTTTAAATAAAGAACGTATATGGTTCACTTGTTCCCACATACAGAGTACGAGTTTCCATACTTTTCATAGAAAGGCATTTTTATTGCTATTCTTCGTTTTACTATAATCAAAACAAACATGAACACTGATGCATTATGCAACGTTAACGTTTTATCGTCGATATTTCGGTTTCTCTTTGCTAGATTTTACTAGAATAATTGCATGAAATGACATGTTGTTGGAAACTGTTATAGTCCTCGTCTGAACTCTCTTTTCTACAATATATATGCGACTGTATTTGTGTATAAAAGGTCAGTAACTAGGAAACATTCCTGAAGCTTCGTACTATAGTTAAGTGAACTTTTTGCAAATAATCTTCTGACGTCCAATTCAAAGCGCTTTGATTCGTGAAAGGTCCATTCACCGAATGTCCATATATTATCTTCCGTGTTTCATTTTTTTCTGAATAAATATCTGCAAGAGTTTGAATTAGCGTTTTTTCATCGCGAATTTACGCGAAATTTATTGCAGCACAACAATTCACTTTTAATTTTATCAAATCTTGGAGATACCTACTATAGCTCCGTAATATTACAGACTGTCTGGACGATTCCGTAAGGAGTAACAATCAATGAAAACAGCAGCCACACAACACGTCTAGTTATCACATTATCTGAATGATGTGTAACAAAATGTCAATATCACAACTTCGCCATATCCCCCATCTTCTCCCGCCAATTCTACTTCTTTATGGGTTTTGTCACTTGAGGAATTCATAGATCACACATCTGGTATTACAGATTCAGGATAACATATGTCCGTATGGTACCTCAACGATTTCCCAATTATCATGATAAACATAAAATCTATCCATAAAGATCACAGGTAAACGGCATCCATAGACAAGGACTTTCCATGAGGGTTTCTGAGCGACGGCGCTCGACGGTTTTGTTTGGTTGCCCTGACAATGTCCGAAGATATAAGTCCATCTTGAGCTCCGCCTTCCTCGCCAGGCGATAACTGATTTGCCAAAATATCCGGAACGGAATTGAATTTCTCTCTTGCTTGTGACAGCTTGTCTACCCAAATAGCCTGTAACATATTAATGTTTTGTATAAGTACCTCAACAACCAGTAGTTTCAACAACAACATGTTATCAGTATCAGCAGTATTTTAGCGGTTACAATAAGCATTGTGAGATTTTGTGAGACAGGTGGAATAAACATTAAGAATAACATTGTGAGAGTTTGTGAGACAGGTGGGATACACATTAAGAATAACATTGTGAGAGTTTGTGAGACAGGTGGGATACACACTAAGAATTACCTTGTGAGAATCTGTAACAGCCTGTAACGTAAATACACCAATGATCTGTTGGTACCGACTGATCTGGACTAGGACGAAGGCATGCTTAAGACCATTTGCTGAAATTGAAGAAGAGGCCTAGAGTAAAATACGCCGACTGCTAACAATGTAAATGGTTAAATATTGCCTTGTTTGCTTGTTAAAACAAATCAACATAATACGTAAATAGACTTCTGTTTCTACTAGCTCTGATGGACCATGATATCTAAAGCGATTGAACTCGCGCAAAAGACGGATGTGTGAATTTATAAAAATTTCCAACCAGTGATGAATGTTAATGATTTATATCCAACAGAGTCAACTTCTTTGATGAAGAAAAAAATTCAACGTAAGACAATCTAATTATGCGAATGTGACATCTGAAAATAAAGTAACGTCACGTCGTGTGATGCATTTTACACCTTGACATAATAAAAATAATCCATAAGCTTGAAATAATGAAGCACAACATCGCGTTATTTATATCATTGGACACAATCGCGTTATTATCGCGGTTACATGTCAAATTTATTGGTGCATGTTTTATGCATTAACTAAATATGGAAAAATAGACAATATAACCTCAGTTACTCATCAAACCTCATTACCTGTTGCGTCAGATGGGGTGATATCGTGAACACTGAGTCTGTCCAAGGCCACGGGCTGTCTATATACCGTGTGAACAATCTTATCAGACTGACCAGACTGCTGAAGCCGAATGTGAATACTGTCGATGGAATGTTTCTGAAAAACGGATTACAAGAGATCTGATGTACCAGATATATAATATTTACGTTTCGATAGATAGTAAATACAAAACCCCAGAAGGACGCAATCAAATCTCAGACTCAATACTTATAGATAATAGCAAGCTCCTAAGACACATCAAAGCAGATAGGAAAACAATAATCCTCCACTAATGTTTGAGGTACAACAGCTACTCCTTAAGGTAATGTGCATATATATCCGGTCCCTGACAAAATGGACGCTTTCTAAATAACTGCTGACATTACTCGAAACACAGATAGTCTACCTTATTTTACGAGGGACTCGAAAGGCCGACAAAACATATATAAATTGCTATTTCTTATGTTTTGATAGCGGGACCCTTGGTATTGTCGTTAACACAGTGGGCTTCTGATAGCACTGAAAAAGTATTTCTGTTCACTATGTTTAGTTGCTATTTTTTTCAAATGAGATAAAGTTCATAGGAAACGTATGTATGCTTGAACATATGTGTTACTGATCAGTTGACTTTGGCATATTTTTTTAGTCTAATTGATCATTTTCTAGTTAAGTTTGTATAATTTAGTTTTGTTCTTCAGTTTACGCATCATTGCAATAACTTAACATATGATTGACTTTAATCATTCCTTCACAGTGACCGTAATATTAAACGTGGTACTCGTCAAGCAGTTGTGCTTTGTAGTTCACTTGATTTTCCCGAGAGTCAAGAAGGTGTACCATGCAAATTATATTTAATTTTTAGATAAAATATAGTAGATGTATATTGCGACAAGAAACTATTCGACTTACTCGACAGCCAACCAAAATCAGTTTAGGGTAAATGAAGGGGAATTTATCGTGAAAGTGGAACGAAGGGCAACATGTATGATATTTAACATCTGCTTTCTAACAGCTAAAAACACATCGAAGATGAGTGGTCTTCCTACCTTCCTCTGTGGTTTCTTTGTTCTCGTGATAAGTAGGATGTCATCAAACAAGAATACGTAGACATCCGATGTTTTGGCGGACTCTACAAAAACACGAGAATATGTTACAATTTTGGAGGGTACATTGACTCAACAAAAACACGAGAATGTGTTACAATTTGGGAGGGTACATTGACTCAACAAAAACACGAGAATGTGTTACAATTTGGGAGGGTACATTGACTCAACAAAAACACGAGAATGTGTTACCAATTGGGAGTGTACACTGACTCTACAAAAACACGAGAATATGTTACAACTTGGGAGGGTACATTGACTTAACAAAAACACGAGAATGTGTTATAATTTGGGGAGGTATTTTGACTTTAATAAGCACACGAGAATGTGTTACAGCAAGAGAGGAAATTTTCTAATAAGAAACAATATTCTATTATGTTGTGGAATATAATAACACTATTTGGTTATACCGATGTGACTTGTTGAATAATAGAATAATATACCTAACCTTTATATATATTATTATTTCTAGTTTGCACACTGATATTATATATTATAAGAAATCTTTTATATGAAAATTCCGAGCTTTCTCCGTTGTACCATGATATGTCGAGACAATACCACACAAAGAAAGAAACTTTTGGTCCCTCACTGCAGCAGTGAAGTCCTAGTCTTATTGATCACAGAATACAATATGTAACAATAGATGGTCCGCGTTTTGTTTGAATATGGTCAGTTATCTTTTAATATCTATTTCTGTCATAAATACTAAGAGACTCTCGAAGTGGAGAATGACTAGCAAGTTTGAACTAGACAATGATCAACGCAAACCTTTACATTTTTTTATGATGTCAATTCTTAGTCAAGGTATTTCGAATTCACTGAAATGAATTTATCAATAGGTTCCCGTACCTAACAGAGAAATCTTGAACAACTTCATATGTTGATTATGACTGATTTGATTCTGTAAACTAATAAAGTAATTATCTGAATGCATAAAGAGGATGTGACGTTTTGACTCGAAAGGCTACCTTAATCGAGCAGGCGTCTCGTGTTAATATTTTTTCCTGAAGCCTCTTTCTTGCAACACTTTCTGATAAATATACTTTTCTCATTAATAAATATTTCCTACGTTCCGAATTATAATTTATCTATAATTAGTAAAAGTATTCTCTGTATATCATAAACATTTATAAATAAAATAGAAAATTGGAAATATCGCTTTTAGTTCAGAAAATACGCATGGAACATTTACTAATAGAAATTAACAAATAACATCGTACTTTGGATATGCCGTTTCAACTGATTTTCAATTTGGATGACAGTTTGAAGAAATGCAGCGCCGGTTTCACGGAGACAGGGCGCAGACCTGTATAAGTTACGTGCTCGCTGATATTTACCAACAAGCGTCAAATAACATTCGTGTATAAACTTACCTACACGCGTCAGATATCCCCGTGTATAAATTTACCTACAAGCGTCAGATATCCCTCGTATACAGACTTACCTACAAGCGTCAGTTATCCCTCGTGTATAAACTTACCTACAAGCGTCAGATAACCCTCGTCTATAAACTTACCTACAAGCGTCATATATCCCTCGTGTATAAACTTACCTACAACCGTTAGCTATCCCTCGTGAATAAACTTACCTACAAGCGTCAGATATCCCTCGTGTATAAACTTACCTACACGGGTCAGATATCCCCCGTGTATAAGCTTACCTGCAAGCGTCAGATATCCCTCGTGAATAAACTTACCTACAAGCGTCAGATAACCCCTTTTGTAGGTAAGTTTATTCACGAGGGATATCTGACCCTTGCAGGTAAGCTTATACAAGCGTCAGATATCCCTAGTGTATAAACTTACCTACAAGCGCCAGATATCCCTCGTGTATAACCTTACCTACACAGGTCAGATATCCCCCGTGTATAAGCTTACCTGAAAGCGTCAGATATCCCTCGTGATTAAACTTACCTACAAGCGTCATATATCCCTCGTGTATAAACTTAACTACAACCGTTAGCTATCCCTCGTGAATAAACTTACCTACAAGCGTCAGATATCCCTCGTGAAGAAACTTACCTACAAGCGTCAGATAACCCCTTTTGTATAAACTTACCTACAGGCGTCAGATATCCCTCGTGTATAAACTTACCTACAAGCGTCAGATATCCCTCGTGTATAAGTTGACGTTTGGGACTACATATCATCCTTTCACATGGCTGTTTAGTTAAGGCAGTTTTGAGAAACTGGAAAAGAAAATATTCAAAAACTTAATAAAGACCGATATAAATTCAATTGTGTTTTTTTCTAGATATTCCAGTTCGTAGCGCTACCATCTCATTGTCTGTGTGAAAAGACTTTCGCAAAGACAATGACTTACATTAAATCTTATAGTACACACAAAATACTACTTACACACAAAAGCAGGATTCCTTGTCATGCGTTATAAAACCTAGGCCTACAGTGTTATGTATTTATTCCACGGGAGGTGATAGTCACGACATGTTTAAAATTCCTTGCATCATATTTTATAGTCAATAGTCTTATGTTTGTCTTTAATCAGAAAGACCACAGGAGTTACATTTTCAGATAAAACATAAAACTTGAATAGAACACTCGTGAAATATATAGACAGTTTTACAATGATTTAGGTAAACCATCAAATTTCTCCGTCTACATTCACCTACATTCACTAAAAAAACCTATATACGAAATCATGGTTCTTATTACGTCATAAACCTCTACTGTTACGATCGCTGACCAGCCAGCCTTCAATCAAGTGCTACATGTATAGCTGGTGATAAAATTTTGAATTAATGGTTTGTCATCATACTTACGTCAGGCACGAAGGCCCGGGGGTCGATGTCTGCTACCGACGGCCACACCAGCTGGCCTTGGATCTCCTGGAGACGTTCGTAATTCTTTGCCCACTTCATCTTGTCCTCCATTTTTTCTACAACAATAAAACGAGGTTTATGACCTACGATCAGTGTCTGCAGCTGTTCAAAGCTCCGTCGGCTTTAGGAGTATAAAAGGTAATGACATCTTTTTCATGGCGATTTTTTTTTTTTTTTTATATCTGTACGATATTGTCTGGGAGGATGTCTCGGAACACGCAAAGAATTCAAACGCCCTGCTGAATATAGTAAATAGCTTTTTGATACAATACCAGTAAATAACGATCATTGTTTTTTTTAATTACAATGGTAATAGCAAAAGAACGGAGGAAAAAATGTCACTGTATGCTCCCTATATTTCTCCAACTACATGTACCACTATAGGTTTCCCCACTCCCGACTCATCGGATAAACCCCCTAGGAGTGGTAAACGTTTTTGGTTAACCGCTAGTGAGTAACACCCTTGGCGATAGTTCATTGGTCAACCTTCTAATTATGACGTCAAGTAACAATGCTTTGCGACGGCATCTGTCCATTGTGACGTCATAGATTCATCGCAATTGTTCTCCATGTAAACAGGAATAATGTATTTCCAAGAGAAACATGGTTTTCTAGATATAATGTCACAAGCTGTAAGAGACAAAGGACACGAACTCGTGATGGTTGATTATCGTCTGTATCTAACTCTAATTAGTTAATTTTCAAATTGTAAAAAGACACTCGGTAAACCTCATGTGGTAATACAGTTTGAAAATTAACTCACTCGAGTAAATACACACGATAACCAACAATCACTTATTGAGGAATCCCAATGTAACCAAACCCTCCTTCTCTGCCTAGGGTCTCGGCGAGCATGTTATTACTTAAGATCACCCCACTTTGTGTATGAGCTCAGCGAGCAGGTACTCACGTAGAGACACGCCCACTTTCTCTATGAGCTCGGCGAGCAGATTCCTCTCGGCGCTGTTATCAGTATACTTTTTGATATTGTTGAGCAATAAAGGGAATTTGGTGCAGTGTTGCATTGGTGCCACTAACAGGTCAGTCAACTGGAGACGGTTACATCGCGGATCCTGAGTACACCACTGCAACAATTAAAATGTATTGATAACAAATCTTCTCTTACTGCAAAATACTCATTTCACGAGATCTATATGCTTGGATGAGGTCGAAATGGAGAGCAAATAACGGATTTAAATAATGCGGTCCGACAAAGCATTGCTAGTTCAGATTAATATGAATATTTGACCGGTCAAAATTTACCATTTTTATAATACAGCAAAGCACACATAATGTTACTTGTATGAATTGATTGGGAGTATTTGGTAAAGGAATAACAAAAACAACAATGACGTGTCATCATTGTATATCGTGTAACCATGACAACACAGATAATGATAGAAATATCCTGAGTTAAATCAATATCTAACGGTAATTGACGAGGTGAGAGTTATCCTCCCTTGCACTACTACCCCATTACATGGTTGGGAACTCCGTAAATTATGTCCCTATATAATGTCAAGTAAGACTATTGTGATATCCTTTATCTTAAACAACAAATAACAATTCTATGTCAAACTGGAAATAAACGATGAAGGCAAAGGTAATTATTATTAACTCAATTACATAAAAAAAACCGCACAGGGCTATGAATTGAACTAAAATTAGAAGAAACAAAACGATAAAAAAGCTGGAGAAACTGAAAAAAGAATCTTACGAAAGCAAGGCTAACAAATTCTCCCAAAAGGAGGCAAAACATTAAAAGAGAAATCTCGTTCAGTCCCCGCCGCTATTAATGTAAGGTTTAGTATCCTTTCACTATTGTGTTCCACAAGGTAGTCCTAAATAGATTAAATGGCAATATGTTGCAGTTGATGTTTATTTTGTTGGATTTTCAAAATGGAACTAATTAATGTTTAAAAAAGAGGTTTTCTTACATCGTGTTTTCAGTGATCAATTTTAACGTAAGATTATTTTTTAAAGGAACATCGCAATGAAACAGAAAAAAAACTACTCTCTCTTCAGCTCCGAATAATGCCGTATCGATGTCAAATGTAAATCAGACGATATAGCCCTTAGAATTAAAGCATACAATGTACTTCATGTTACAACGGGACAACTAAAGTATACTGCACATTGAGGATGACTTATTATGTCAAGAGCAGAAAAGTTCATCCTACCAGGTGAAAAAGGATTACCTCTGTTTACAGCTGAAGAAGGCAATGCCCTTTTTAAAAATTTAATTACAAACGGACTATTTTCGTAAATTCTATTTTTTTCATCGTGGCACGAATCTCGCCAATCTTACAGCTACACTTAATTAATGTATTACCGTATACAATTCAGTATCAACCAAAGTATGGACAGTTTAGTATTTCTGTTCGACAGAAAACTAAAAATTTGGCTCAAATGCAGAAAGTTTCCGATATCATTATTATTTCGTTAACATGATCATAAACGTCCTAATCACCGGTCTTGAACGTAACCCACACACATATTAAAGTCTGTTATTACGATATAATGATGACATTAATACGGGAAGGGTATACTCTGTGATGTTAATGGCCCTTACTCAATACCACTGTAGAATGGTTAAGGGGGCTGGTTGTCTGCGGTACAATCCTCACCTTGTCCCAGTCACACAGTCGGACTAACTCGTAAACATATACGACTTCATTTTGATTACAGTGTACAAAAGGGATGGGTTTCCATTAACTACTATACAAGTCGACAATAAAAGATCGGTAGGCATTGGTGTTTATGTTGGAATATAATCTGTGTGAGAAAGGTCAAAACCCTACTTTTGTTGTCGGATCTGAAAATAGTAGCATTAACGTTCTATGTATAATTTAGGTCAAAACATTAGTATTTAACACGAATATCAATTAAGACTTTATTACATATCAATTTTCTAGAGCAAACGTCAATGTGATACCGTCAACAGAGAAGAGCAAAACAAGATTCCAGCTCGGCACGAAAAGAAAATAAGTGGAACTGAAGATACATCATACAAAGGGGAAGACGTCAAAAACTCGTATATTTGGAAACCATTGAATGATGAATTTGGCTATACAAGATGCACACGTTGTATCCATAATCACGGTATAATTGTATACAAATATGATATATGCTCATATAAGCACTATTTGCCAATACACAGATATACTTTATTAATATATGATTACGTTATAATCATGCGGATTTAAACACAAAATTATCATTAATTAATAATCCCAATATCTTTATATACAGGAAAATAAACGATTTTAATACATACCGATATAAAATGATATTGTTAAATATCAGATAAAATTGCTATATGTTTATATTACAGACCAACATAATATGATTGTATGATGATATAAACACAATATCATTGAATTCTTTCTCATTTATGTGCGTATGGATGTTGTATAAACGGGATGGTATTGTAAAGGTTTTCTACCATAAGATTGACAGAGGATACAGATCATACTTTATCTTCCTCAATGTTCAATAGCATTGCCTGGGCTGGGCTTACCATTCGTGTATGAGAAGCATACCTTTTCGAATTCCGTGAAATCTTCGTGTCGTCTCAGCTGTTCGAGGTAAGTCAAGGCATTCACATAGTTCAGACAGTAAGTATGGTACACTCCTCCATCTCTCGAGTGAGTTGTGAACTGTAAACAAGTCAAAAGGAGTTTATGTCAAACATGAATTCGACTTAGCGCTATTTCAAAGAACTGGGGCTGTCAGGTTTAAATAGAACTCGTGAACATTATCGATTTGAAGACCAGATATTCATTTAATAAGACAAATCATCACGAAACCCAGATCTTTGTGAATGCGTTTACGAGCGAGTTTTCGTTCTTTACTGCTGACCCGTTCACTTCCACTGACCCTGTCACAATATTTCACCCGTCACTAAAACTCATTCACTCGTCACTGCTTATCCGTACACGATTGAACGAATGTATACTATAGCTCCAAATCTGCAATTACTCGCTAATTTACTTCTATTTGTCCTTTTGCAAGTGATTGTTAGCTCTCTGCTCACCTATCCGCTCATTTCTACTCGTACCTTAGCTTTTGTTCGCTCATTAGCTAATGCTTTTCACTACCTTCCCGATTACTTGTACCCAGCCACCTTTCCTATTACTCACTCGTTCGCTGCCGCAATTCCGTCCATTACTAATCGCTCGTTCCATATATTCGCTCGTTAACTACTTCTCACCGAGTTCACTGCAACTAAACCGCTCGCACTCAGCCGTTCGTCATTGCTTTCACGCTCATTTTTTATCATCAGTTAATGACTGCTTGTCAGGTTCACTCTCGCTAAATCGTTTGCTAATACTCACACTCTCACTATTGTTCGACTATGCACAACTGTTCACCCTTGTGCGTGTCCGTGCCTGTTTGCTATTGCTGTCTCGTTGGCTACTGATTAGGCGTTTACTAAATTGAACCCTTTTACTACTACTTACCCGTTCAAAGGCTCTGATTAAGACACTTGTACTTCCGAAGTCAGTTGAGCTCATATCCTTCAGTAAGGCCGATATAAAATCTTTACAAAACGTGTAACTCACCTGAAAAAGATACATTGCATTAACTGTCTGGTTTGTTTTGTGAAGGTAAGTCTATGGAACGCTCTTTCAAAATATCTTGGCGACATTATTTTAAAATTTCAGATTATACTCGAGTCGCGATTGGTACAGTTATCATGAATTATAAAATAACATTTACACAACTACGTACTAATTTTTGACGGCAGTATTATTTTGGCAGTAAGATTAATCCGCGATTAAAACACAACAGCAGATTTTCTTATGCAACGAAATACAACACACCAAGTTTTGAACTTTCTCGACTAAAATTCCCACACTACGTGTATTTCTAATTTTAAATTAACATGCTTAGGTAGTTACAAGGATATAACGGCTTAACAAAATCAATCACTTCAGTGTGGAGTAGACAGGAATCTTAACCCGAGAGTAAGATGTTGAAGCTTAGCACGAGACTTTGCTGAGTGTTTAACTTCATAAAACTTATCCCGAGGGTTGAGCGATCCTTGTCAGGATTTTACAGGAGTGACAGATTATTTTTCATCCACACTTTTCTACCGTAAAAGTATATTGTAATGGCAAACACCAATACACCGCGCTGTCATCACGGGCAAATGAAATGTGCGACAAAATTTATGACGCTACCCTGGTAGCACTGAATAAAGTGATGACACGATGATGACGTTTTCAGAATAATAGCGTACGTAAGTTGCTAGGTAGGCCAAGGCATTATTTTCTCGCACCTCAGACAGAGCTATCCCACGTTATTCCCTAATGCTAGATATTTCTATCTCGTCCGATCTGTCTTGTATCTTTACGTGACATTTCGCGGAATTTTTGCACTGCGATGTATTCATCCGCGCGTTAACTGCTTGAAATTGACAATTTGCATTATAAATGTTCTGTTTTGTCGTTAAATGTATAGTTGTAAATGTGTATGTTGTTAGATATTTGATGTTGTAGATAAAATATAATCTACACTGTGAAATACGTTGAAATCTATGAAAGGACGGACTACATTTTTACGCGAAAGCATTCAAATGTAGCTTTAGTAGTGAATAGGTCCCTATCATTTGAGGCCCAAGGTTTCGAACTTAAGGTGCGAGAAAAAAAAATCAATTACCTGTAACTCAGCGAGATCGGGTTATCTCAGTCCCGGGCTAAGATTCTGTAACATCCCAACCTCGGCTTACGCCTCGGTTGGGATTTTGTTACAGAATCTTAACCCTTGACTGAGATAACCCGATCTCGCTCAGTTACAGGTAAAATATTTTATTAAAATTTCTACCAGTAAAAACGGAAATGCGTCTTGTTTAGAGTGGGAGAATGTGTACTCCAGTTTTGACCGTTCAGGATACCTTCCAAATCGGCAATCATTTAGTTATTCTAGCAGCAATACTACAAGATAGAACTATATTGTTTTCACTATACGTCTTCGTCTTATACATTTATGTACTTACATAACATAGTTCGTCCAGATTACCAAAAATGTCCTGTGGTTCAGCAAACATTACATGACCTTCCACTTGGACCTTTTTAAGGGGCTCCATGAAGCACTGGAAAGATTTTACGAAAATGATAGGGGATTAAGCTGGCGTAGCTATCACCAACTCATCAATATGGAAATTAACATTTCAGCTTGTATTGTAAACCGATAACGTTTAACCAATAATTAAAACAATGAAATGTGAGAATGATAACCCAAGTATTTGATGACGTAATTTATTCTGCAATATAACTGTTCAATAGCTGACCTTCAGATGAAGTGATATTTTTCAAAGTACGTGGCCAATATCAAAAGAACGATAATAATTGATCACTCTTTAAATTGCCTTTGCGCAGCTCGGAATCTCGAACAGAACGTGGGCGTTATGGATAGGTTTAAGTGTTATGTGGTGTTAATAGTCCACGTTTATTGTAAGGAAGACATATTCCGGGGAAATACAATTCGGCAATCCGACATGATAAAGATGAAACATGGGTTTAATCTGTGCTATTTCTGTCGATCAAGGCTAGTACTTGTTATGAGGAGATAACGAAACTGCAATTATATTAGATTTTGAGTGATTCTTATCTGTTTGAGGTAAAAAGTACATTTTTCTTTAAAGACTGTTGCGACCTTTAATATGCAATGTAAATCCGAACGAACTAAAACAAAGAGTGTCCCTTGATACAAATATTAACATGTTCTTTAACCACAGGAAGAAAGATAATGATGACACCACGTTATCCACGGGAAGCACATTCTGTCGTTTCTCTATATCAAGAAAATGCTTTATTGATCACCAGAATCGTTAGTTAGCGCAGGGAACGTACATGTTTTAGAACCATTAGATGATCGATGAGGAAGACACATTCACTTTTGAAGAGTTCCCATACTGCTTCACGTCGTTTCCTTTCTACTTCCGGTAGTTTGACTGCGTCTGTCTGTTTATCGGAGCTTGCAATTAGGTCAGACCAATGTAAGTTCTGTGAACATTGCAAACGTAAAGCATATAATTAAATTAGATGAGACGTAGTTTGTTTCTTTATCGGAGCTTGTAAAATAAGTCAAACCGATGTAGGTTCTGTGAACGTAGCAAACATAATAATAATAATAATCTTTATTTAACGTCGTGTACAATTGTCAACAACAAACATTAGCTCTGTAGAGCTTTTATTACGACGCCGCTAAGGGAACAAATGGTGTTTTCATGGTGGAGGAAAACCCACGGGGGAAAAGCACCGTGCCATCGGAGGGATAACAACTAACCCTATCAGACATCACTCTCTTTTTTCCACCACCGCTGGGGATCTTGGGAGAGCGAATGGTCTGAAGCTCACGCTTGATAGCACAGATAAGAAACATAAAGCATGTAATTCAATTAGAAGAGAAGTAGGTGTCAATTCAAACAACCGTTTTCTTTAATTTGCTGCAATACAAGGACAAATATCAATTACTCTAAAATACATCACAAGACCTATATGTGAAGGTGAACTCTACACCAAGTGGTGAATCATTAAGTACAGAGAAAGCAATAACTGTGTGAGACCCCATAGCATTACTTTGAGTCATACGAATGCACAGCACCATTTAGGGAAAACATCGACTGTCTTTTAAGGAAATATAACAAAACCTGGGCAACTGACATATCTCTACTGGACAGTTAGAATGTCAATTAACTTTTCCGTACGGTATTGAAATCATCTGAAGGATTATCCGAATACAACAACAGTTACGTGGTTTTTTTTAATCTAAAATATTATGAGAATACTAGATCCACATGGACCAGAATAACATTTCACTGAACAAGATTTTAATTATATAACAAGAGGCCCAAGAGAGCCTGTATCGCTCACCTGAATATTTAAGCAGTCATAGCAAAATATTCTCATTAAATATTATATTGCACTAAAATCATTTCCCTCGCAAACTTTGTTGGCTCCATCTGTTGAAACTACCAGCAAAATATTATTATAAGATTCTATGCTTTTTGAATCTTCTTCAGAAGTTGCTTGACATATTTTCCCCTGTGATCTTGTAAGTAGGTCAATGTCATTTTCCTTCTCAAATTGGTAAGCTCTATTCCAAAAAGCTACCAGCCAAATCTTATGAATCCGTTCCTTTTAGTTCTCAAGAACAAATCCATTAAAATGTTGTTGACCTCTGTGACCTCTAAAGTAGGTTGAGGTCATTTTCATTTGCAAACTTTGGTGAGCTCTATCCCAGGAAGTCACCAGCCAAATATTATAATTTTATGCCTTTTAATTCTTCAAAAGAAGCTGTTTGAACTGTTTGACATATTTGAACGCTGTGACCTTGAAAGTAGGTCAAGGTCATTTTCATTCGAAAACTTTGTTTGGCTCTTTCCCAGGAAGCCACCTGCCAAATATTAAGATTTTATAACTACCAGTTCTTCAGAAGAAGTCGTTTAAAGTGTTTGACATATCTGCCTCATGTGACCTTAAAAG